ACAACCATCATCATCATCATCATCATCATCATCATCATTACGATAATGATGATGATGACGATGGTGGATGTTGTTGTTGTTGTCATTCTTGTTATCTCCTGGAAAATCTTATTTTAAATTTCCAACTAATTAAACCGATCAATAAATTCTTGCTAGAAATTAAATCCCATCATCATCATCATCGTCGTCGTCATAGTTATCATCATCATCATCTTCTTCTTCTTCATCATCACCATCAAATTCTTCTTCTTCTTCATCACCATCATTTCATCTTCGACCAGTCGACATCCTTTTGAAGTTAAAATTGAAAATCATCGCTAATAGATCTTTGCAAGTGTAAATATACAAACATGTTTATATGTATGTATGTATGTATGTATGTATGTATGTATGTATGTATGTATGTATGTATGTATGTATGTATGTATGTGTGTATGTATGTATGTATGTATATATGTATGTATGCATGTATGTATCTATGTATTTGTGTGTTTGTGTGTGTACACATAAGATGCATGCACAAGTTAGCACAGACTGGATAATGATTTATTCTTCCTAATGAGTTTGCTACAAAGCAAACAACAACATAAACCTCTGCTACTACAACTACTACTACAACTACCTCTGCTACTACTACAACCACTACCACTACTACTAGTACTACTACTACTGCAACTATTACTACTACTACTACTACTACTACTCTTACTTGGTCAGTATCATCAGTAGAGACAAATTTCAGTTTACATATTTTCATCAAAGATCATGCAGACGTGTTTTATTAGTTATTTCAGTGAAGATTGTCGTTTTTGTTGTTGTCGTTGTTGTTGTCGTTGTTGTCGTTGTTGTTGTTGTTATGCAGAAAACTTTGTCGCTTTATTTACACTAACATGGTTTCATTAATTGTATGTAATTGTGTTTGTCTGTGTTTATGTGTAAGTGTATTTGTTTGTTTGTTCGTTCGTACATACATATATACATACTTACATACATACATACATACATACATACGTACGTACATACATACATACATACATACATACATACATACATACATACATACATACATACATACATACATACATACGTACATACGTACATACGTACATACGTACATACGTACATACATACATACATACATACATACATACATACGTACTCACATGCATACTAACACACACACATTCAATTAATCTATCTCATTAATATTCATGAAATCTGTCAATCACACGTACGTTTGCTCCGCCTTTCTTGGGGGCCTTCCAGCCAATAGGAATCGAGAACGGTCGCATGATTGAAGGATGAACGAAGGAATGATTGAATTAGAGCCAAATAATTAAGAAACATTTTCAACTACTTCTTTCCGATTTTTTGCTATTATTATTATTATTATTATTATTTACAAATTATTTCAAATTAAATTAATATGAATAAATTAAGAATTAATGCGAAATAGTTTATAAATGAGATGAATAATCATATGGCGATGAGAATGGGGCGAGTAGCAGATTCGAAGTCTTCAGTGGCTGGCCTACTTCCTGGCTGGTGGTTCGCGTTCACTTTATGACTACATCGGGTGGATAGAGAATCTTCGAGATGTCTTCTTGATGGTGTGCCTCTGCCACCCCACCACACCACAATATACGCCATCCACACTGAGAAGACAAGCTGGGAAGGTTTGCCTAAATTTTAAAAAAAGTCAAGTCAAACAGTGTTTTTTCTTTTGGTTGAATGCACGGAGAACAAAAACATGCAAAGCAGAGCAAGAACCATCGTGCAATCATCATCATCACCTCCATCATCGTCGTCATCATCATCATCATCATCATCTCAAATGTTTTGTCATCATCATCATCACTTGAAATATTTTTATCGTTATTATTATTATTTTGCTTATCATTATCATCAGCGCCGGGATTGCCATCATCATCATCATCACGGGCCCAGGAAGCCGTCTCATTGGTTGAATACCTCAGCGAATGAACCAATCGGAAGTGGTTATTTGAAATGGAGGGCTCCCATTGGCTGCAGGATGTCGTGACGTATGTTATTAAGTTTTTTGATGAACTATTTTCTTCTCATGAAAATTTTGGGAATGTTTGAAAACTCAAAATAAAATTTAAAAAATCATAAATTGAATAAATAATTATCATTATTAAGCTAAATTAATTTAATTAATCAATCAACCAATCAATCAATTAATCGATCAGTCAATCAATCAATCAACCAACCAATCAATTATTTCGCATAAATTCATACTTTTTCATTTTAAATTACTCCAAAATTGAACAATTTAAAAGTAGATCAAAACAATCCATTGGATGTTATTTATCGGTACAAGTCTAGAATAATTAACTAAAATATATAATAATAATTAATAATAATAATAATAATTAATAATAATAATAATGATTAATAATAATAATAATAAGCATGGGAGCGTTAGAACGCGTTAACATTCCAAAACAACTACATCTCCGTGAGCGCTGAAAACAAATCTGTCAC